GGAGTATGTCTATGCCAGTGATGGTGAACCTTTTAGAGACCGAGTGCCCAAAAATTGCCCCCATCCTTGTCCACTGGGCCACCCACCACCTTTATGGCCCACCACAGATCACCCAGGCAGCCCAGCAGCGCCATGGTGGCCACGCCCTCCACCCATGCCCCGCAGCATCATCTGCGCGTGACGTGGTGCAAGGGTGGAGTCTCGTCCCCGCTGCACGGCTATCATGTCCTTGGCTGCGCTGCTTCGCGTGGGCCATGCCTGGGGGCGACTCTCCTCCGTGGGGCTGCTGGTGAGAAGGGGAACATGGGAAGAGGCGGGGCTGGGACGACAGTGCATGTGCCCACAGAGAGGGCTCTGAGTGCCGCCTCTGGCACGCATGCCATAGGTTCGCCACCACTGGTCTATGCTAATGTGACATGATAGCAGTGTTCCAATATCTCAGGGGCTGCCACAAAGAAGAGGGTGTCAAGCTATTTTCCAAGGCGCCTGAAGGCAGGACAAGAAGCAACGGATGGAAACTAAGCAAGGAGAGAAGCAACCTAGGAGAAACTTCCTGACAGTTAGAACAATTAACCAGTGGAACAACCTGCCTCCAGAAGTGGTGAATGCTCCAACATTGGAGGTTTTTAAGAAGAGACTGGACAGCCATTTGTCCGAAATTGTATAGGGTTTCCTGCCTGAGCAGGGGGTTGGACTAGATGACCTCCAAGGTCCCTTCCAACTTTATTATTATTATTATTATTATTATTATTATTATTATTATATCAAATATTTAATGAAATTTAATAAAAATATTCTATAGGACCTGACTTTAGATATATTCTATATAGTATCTATATATTTGTATCATCATCGGCTACAGTTGTCATTTATCCTGTAATTCTATACATTTTTTAAAGATTATTACAATTCCCCAAGAATCTGCTACAATAAATATCCATGTTTAAGATGCCACAAAATTTGTAGCTGTTCTAATAAATTATTATAGTTAGAAATCTTGAACCACGTATATACTTACTTGTGAGTAGGTCTCTCTGAACTTTCATTTATATATTCCTTTAAAAGTAAATAGAATTGCATCTCAAAAGTGATTTATCAACATTTTAAAATGCACTATTCTTTTTCTATTTCTATTTCTTTGCCATAAATTCTTTATGTAAATTGAACTGTTATTTAGACATAGGTTATAGTTATTGATGTAAATATTATAGACCAGTCATGTTATTAGACTTTATGCCTTAGCAGTAATCTTAAACTTAAATCTAAAAAGTAGACTTTTTTTAGCAATAGCTTGATGCTGTGCCCATGAAAAATAACTTCTAAAGATTTCAGCTTTTTCAAATAGAAGTGGTAATATAGAATATAAAGTAGTAAGTGTGACCACATATATACAATTGCTGTTATGATTATAAAATATTTGAGTATTTCTCTATATCAATTTTCTCAACAAAATGCTAACATATCAACTATTTGTGTGCTACTCTGTAGCTAAAGTTTATCTCTAATTCCTTACATAATTTTTCTGGCAAATTAATAGGTCTCATCTCACATTTCTTCCTTTGGAAAATATACTGCACATTATCACTTCAGATCATTAAGGTTGTGAATCTTTTAAGACTTCAACCTGAATAAGAAGGCCTATTCAAGTTGTTTTTGATCATTTTGTGAATTGTTGCATATGAAATCTCTGTGGTTCTCTAAACCTAGTAGAGCTAGAAAAGAACAAGAAACAGAGAGGAGGCAAAACAGGGTGACAATGTTCAATTATGGAAGTAATTATGATTATCTGGATTTCGAAACTAAGTAGTGTTGGGCCTTATTAGCACTTAGATGGAAAACTTCCAGGGCATAGCAGGGCTACAGGCTACACTGAAAAGACAGAGGAAAAACAAAGAAGATAATTGCAAATAACATCTGAATTGCTGCCAGAGAAACCCTACATAGATTTAAGCATAATTTAAAGAACATGTTCATATTGTATTATCCTGAGTAGCTTTCTTCAAGTTTTAAGATGAAGAAAAATAAAATGAAATATCCAGGCAATAACCAGAATATAAGCCGCCGTTGAGATTAATAGATTCAGATTTTCAAACTGATTCTGGAAACTTAAACAATTTGTGGATCTTTCATATGTTCATTACATGCGTTTCATTTTTTAAAAATGCATATGCAGCAGCATAAAAAACAGCACAGCTTTTATCTCAAGATATCTGAAAGTCACAGAACAAAAACGTTTGCCTCTTTTTCTTGAATGTCTCAGCTCCACAGGGAAGACCTCAACATTACAGCAAAGCCAAATTTTGCCTCATTTATATGCAAACAGCTTAGAATAGCTGAAACAGTTTTAATACAATCGTTTTGCCCAAAAAAATGGTAATACTCAGGAAATTGTATAAACATTGCTACTAAGAGATAACAGGGTTGTGTCCAAAATGGGGCCACTCAAAACCAAGAGGGAGGTATACATGTGCTCTGTAGGACTCTGAGATTTGCAGGAGTACGAAAGACTTGGAGAATGAGAAACCAGGAGTGGAGGGAGGTGATCAGTCAATCCCCAAATAATCCACTAAGAACAGGCCATATTTACTAGCTACAGAATACTGAATAGCTGTTGGGCATTTACAGCAAGAGGTGAAGAAAAAGCCTGAAAACTGGAATCCTGACCTGTAATATTGTATTGAAGATTCCCCTATGGATACTGTAAATGAAAAAATATGAGATGATCAGGAAGTGTCAGTTGAAAAATTGTACACCAACAGGTTGTGTGTTTCTGGGCAGCATATGAATAAATGCATAAATACAAGGTTATGGGTTTTAAACAGCAGCTGCTCATGTTCAAAGTTGCCCTATAGCATCTATTGGAAATATTTCCATATATAAACTAATTCTAGACAGCCCAAGATGACTCTTTCTGTTTAAACAGCCACTGATATCTCACACATACAGGGAGTAGTTCAGACTGGATGCACTAAAGCTGGGGTTTTAATCACATTAGTACACAGGCCATAGATCATAGCAGGCATACAAAATTGGTGCTGTTCACCTCAATAAAATCTTACATTATCCTGAACTGAAGCATAGTCCCCATTCAGGTGAGTGGAATTGGTCTGAAAAGTTACTGCTAATATTGACTTTTTGTAGTTTGCCTTCCCCATAAATACTGAAAGGAGCTACCATACATGTCTATCCAAATATTCTTTCAAAAAAACAAAAAAACAAAATTAGAACAGTTTGCAATATTGACATTAAATCTTTGCCCAAAGAAAGAAGCCATTTGAGGGCTGATTGCTGAAGCAGCCACTAAATGCCTAGGAGGTGGACAATTATCTAGAAAGAAGTACGTTCTAACAGCTAAATCCAGACAATATGGATCCATTCCTCACAAGTAGCAAATACTCAAAATGGGTTAAGAGAGAGGCTCAGATCTGGTATAAAGCTGTTTGTGCCTTCTAATATCTATCAGCCCACATTAAACAAGATATAAGGGGTTTGCCTCAAACTGCTTGACTCCTGGAAATGAAGTCCACTTAAAAAAAATTTATCCTGATTTCAGCCTCTTTCTCTATTCTGGCCAGTGATGGACAGGTACACTATCTGTGTTGAATTCCCTGCTTCTGTTCTAGTCCCACCCATGCCTAGGAAAGAAAGTGCCAGCTTCTTTCTTTAAAGACATGTGGTTTCAACTGAGACCTTTTCTATGAGTTGCATCCACTGTTTCTCTCATATTCAACACCTTCCCATTGGATGCATCCTTTGGTGGGTGGGTAGGAAAGAAGGCATCATTTTATTATCCTTCTATACCAGTGGTTCTCAACCTTTTTAATGCCATGACTCCCAACTGGTTGTAAGTCGAGGACTACTCAACCGGTCGTAAGTCGAGGACTACTCAACTGGTGCAGCACTGTTTGCAGAATGGGACTTTTGGCGGGCTCAGCAAGGCAGAGACAGCCTGGACAATTCCTATTGGCTTTTGAAAGCCAATAGAATTAGACTCTATTCAAGAGAGTCTATTCTATTGGCTTTCAAAAGCCAATAGAATAAAAGGGAGTAGCACAGCTAAGGAAAAGGGGGAAAAATAGCAGACTGCGTTGTATGGCGACCCCCATGAAATGGTCGTTCGACCCCAAATGGGGTCCCAACCCACAGGTTGAGAACCACTGTTCTATACAACTAGCCTGGAAAGGAAAACTTGCCATTTTTAATTTCATCATTCTATTAGTGAACTCCTCAAGAAAGAAAAGAAACACCATGCGGTTCACTATTATTCCACCAGTGAACACCTTAAAACAAAACAAACACTCCCCAGCTTTTGAAAGAGCAAACAAAATGAAGTTCCCTAGTTAAGGTCCACTTAGAAAGGGGGCAGGCAGGTCAGGACAAAATTTCCATGGAAGGCAGAGACCAGTGACAGAGGGGAGAAATGATAGAGGGGAGATCCAGTTGGAGGGGAGGGGGGTTCTTGTCAACCCAAATTAAACCCCTAAAGACAGCCAGCAGACTAGGCACACCGCTTATGCCAGCCTCAGTTGGAAAACGCTATTTTTGATGCCTGATAGGAAAAGAAAGCAGAAGACTGGGGACAGATGGAAGATGACGCTGTCGGTCAGAGTTGTCTGTTCCCACGAGAAACAGTGGCTTGTTGCTTTTGTTCTGGGGCAACCTGGTTGTGCAGACAGTCGTCCAATATGCATTCAACAAGATCCTACGAGACTGACGAAAAGGCTCTGTTTCAAATGGGGGATAGGATGGCGATCGCGCCTTCTTTGGGGCTTCTGATATATTTAGTCTTTTCCAAAGGCACCGTCATGAAATACGCTTTCCCTCCCAGCGTTGCTTCTTTGCCTTGGTTGGGAAGGACGGGGTGGAAGAACAGGTCCCTCTACCAAATGTGGATGTAAGGGGGGGGGGGGAAACCATGGGATAACGCGGTCCGGGGAAAATCCGCCTGGCTATCGGCGCCTCTCCAGGTGCTAAGAGCAGGGAAGGGGGGAAAGACTTACCTTCCGTAGCATACTGTGCAAGCAGCGGCTAGGGCTCCGGACGCCTGCGACAGGTTCTTCCTCCTCCCGATCGTTCCTCGGCCATTCACCGGAGCATTTCTTGCTGGGAGATTTGGCCAGCCCAAGGAGCGCACATTTCATGCCCGCCGTGGCTACGGCTGCGAGACCCGAGCCCTCGCCCGCATATGTGTGGGGGACACACAGGGCAGGTCCTCCCGAAGCCAGCGAAGCTTCCTTCGGGAGCAAGCGCGGGCTCGCCGATGGTCACGGGGACGCCGTGGGCTCAGGGAGGCAGAGCGAGTCTATCGGACTGCAGCAGCAGCCGCAGCTCTCCTCAACGGACTGGAAGCAAGAAGCTCAAATGAGCGATTTGGCGGTCCCGCTGCCTCCTCCGTCGCTTCCCTCCTCAGCGCGCCGCGCGAGGTCCCGCACGCGCTCAGAGGCCAACGCGAGGGTCCCCCGAGAATGTGGGCTTCGCGCGCCCCCGCCGAGATTGGCAGCGAAGAAGACAGCCGGCGAAACCCTGGAGCGGAGGGCTTTACAAAAGGCAGGGCGAGTCGGGGGGCGGGGCTTGGCTGTGGAGCGTCAGCATGCAATCCCTCCCTCTCCCTCCTGCAACATACACAAAATAACCTCCACTCAATCAGAGAGAAAGGCGCGAAGGTGAGGCTGGGCAGACTTTAGGTTGTGCTCCCTTCCATTACTAATGGAAGATGTGCTATGCTGGAGAATGCCGTAGACTTTCTTCGGGCAGTGCTTGCCTCCCCGACGCGTCATAGGATGAGTTCCCAGCCACACTTTTTGCTCTTGGGCAATTTTACACAAGCATATTTAACAAGCGCGCTGAGCCCGGAGTGTGAAGTTCCTCTCAGTAGTCACTAGCCATTCGCAAAAACCCGAGCCTTGAGTACGCTGAAAGATTGTCACCAGGGCTTGCAGTGCGAAACACTTGTAACGGTCCCACGTTACAAGCGCCTCTCCTGCCAGCTCGCCGGTGCCTGATGTACATCAATTTGTAACTCAAAGACAGTAGCAGCTGTAAGCATCCTGCTTACCCTTTCCCTTGCCTCCTGGGGTTGGGTTCTGGGGCTCAGATACAGGTTTTGGAGGGAAGTGATATCTGAGACGCCTGATTGCAATTCTTTCTTGCTTCTGAGCAAAAACCAGCATCTTGGCTTGGTTTGGCTCAGAGTGTTGTAAATCCCAATCTCTGATTTATAAACCTGAAAGGGCCTATGTTGAGCATAGATAAAACTTTTTTTTCCCTACTGATTTACCATCTGTGCACACTCTAAACCAGTGGTTCTCAACCTGTGGGTCGGGACCCTATTTGGGGTCGAATGACCATTTCACAGGGGTCGCCAAACCACGCTGTCCGCCATTTTTTTCCCTTTTCCCTAGCTGTCCTACTCCCTCTTATTGGTGGCCACACCCACTTGGGGGTCACCACAACAAGGGGAACTGTATTATGGGGTCCCGGCATTAGAAAGGTTAAGAACCACTGCTCTAAACTAATGTCACACAACTTGCTGGACTAAAATTTGGTTGACTGTGTGCTTCAGTTAAATGAATGAAGTGCTGCTCTGTTAAATGAATGATTGTTGTGTAGTTAGGGTTAGCTTAGGATTAACAAAACAATTCTGATAAATACTTTAATATCATTTATGCTGGTCTATGATTGTAATAAAGATTGTACTTGACTACTGTAAAGTTTTTAACAGTAATTTATCTATACAAGGCATAATATCTGGTTCACTAGCCCTCAGAGGAGATTCTACTATTTTTGCCTGGTGGGGATATTTGGAAAATTGGACACCTGATGTAGACTTGTTTGCAAAATAATTTTCTTGGAAAATATTTATCATTATGAGGCACCTATATAATTCCTGTTGCTGCCACTTTGCTGGTCTTTATTCTGGTTCAAGGCACACTGGCACACTTGTAATGGAAACCAAGTACTGAGGTGAAATCATCTAGCTGGTTTGAATGTCATGATGGGATCCAGAGGTTGTGTTGTTGTTAATTGCGAAGTCGTGTCCGACCCATCGCGACCCCATGGATAACGTTCCTCCAGGTCTTCCTGTCCTCTACCATCTTCTGGAGTCCATTTAAGTTCATACCTACTGCTTCAGTGACTCCATCCAGCCATCTCATTCTCTGTCGTCCCCTTCTTCTATTGCCCTCAATCTTTCCCAGCATTAGGCCCTTCTCCAGTGAGTCCTTCCTTCTCATTATGTGGCCAAAGTATTTGAGTTTCAACTTCAGGATCTGGCCTTCTAAAGAGCAGTCGGGGTTGATCTCTTCTAGGACTGACCGGTTTGAACCCTTGCAGTCCAAGGGACTCGCAGGAGTCTTCTCCAGCACCATAGTTCAAAGGCCTCAATTCTTTGGCGCTCAGCCTTTCTTATGGTCCAACTTTCACAGCCATACATTGCAACTGGGAAAACCATGGCCTGGACTATACGCACTTTTGTTGGCAGGGTGATGTCTCTGCTTTTTAGTATGCTGTCTAGATTTGCCATAGCTTTCCTCCCCAGGAGCAAGCGTCTTTAATTTCTTGGCTGCAGTCCCCATCTGAGGTGATCTTGGAGCCCAGAAAAATAAAATCTGTCACTACCTCCATTTCCTCCCCATCTATTTGCCAGGAATTGAGAGGGCCGGATGCCATGATTTTGGTTTTCTTAATGTTGAGTTTCAAACCAACCTTTGCACTCTCCTTCTTCACTTGCATCAAGAGGCTCTTTAGTTCCTCTTCACTTTCTGCCATTAGAGTGGTATCATCTGCAGGTTCTTGATATTTCTACCGGCAATCTTAATTCCAACTTTTGAATCATCTAGCCCTGCCTTTCTCATGATGTGCTCTGCATATAAGTCAAATAGACAGGGCGACAGTATACAGCCTTGCCGGACTCCTTTTCCAATTTTGAACCAATCAGTGGTTCCATGTCCAGTTCTCACTGTTGCTTCTTGACCCACATATAGGTTTCTCAAGAGACAAATGAGATGGTCTGGTACTCTCATCTCTTTAAGAACTTGCCACAATTTGTTGTGATCCACATCAAAGGCTTTTGCATAGTCAATGAAGCAGAAGTAGATGTTTTTCTGGAACTCCCTAGCTGTCTCCATGATCCAGCGTATGTTGGCAATTTGATCTCTAGTTCCTCTGCCTCTTCGAAATCCTGCCTGTACTTCTGGTAGTTCTCGATCCACATACTGCTGGAGTCTAGCTTGTAGGATTTTAAGCATAACTTTACTAGCATGTGAAATGAGTGCAATGGTGCGATAGTTTGAACATTCTTTGGCATTGCCTTTCTTTGGAATTGGAATGTAAACTGACCTTTTCCAATCCTGTGGCCACTGTTGAGTTTTCCAAATTTGCTGGCAAATTGAGTGTAGCACTTTTACTGCATCGTCTTTTAAGATTTTGAATAGCTCAGCTGGAATACTGTCACCTCCACTAGCTTTGTTGTTGCTCAGATTTTCTAAGGCCCATTTCACTTCACATTCTAGGATGTCTGGTTCAAGGTCAGTGACCATCTCATTGTGGTTATCTGGGATGTTAAGCTCATTCTTGTATAGTTCTTCTGTGTAGTTTTGCCATCTCTTCTTAATCTCTTCTGCCTCTGTTAGGTCTCTGCCATTTTGGTCCTTTATCATGCCCATCTTTGCATGAAACGTTCCCTTCATATCTCCAATTTTCTTGAAGAGATCTCTGGTCCTCCCTATTCTGTTGTTTTCTTCTATTTCTTTGCACTGTTCATTTAAGAAGGCATTCTTATCTCTTCTAGCTATTCTCTGGAATTCTGCATTCAATTGGGTGTATCTTTCTCTTTCTCCTTTGCCTTTCGCTTCCCTTCTTTCCTCAGCTATTTGCAAAGCTTCCTCAGACAGCCATTTTGCTTTCTTGCATTTCTTTTTCTTTGGGATGGTTTTAGTTGCTACCTCTTGTACAATGTTGCGAACTTCCATCCATAGTTCTTCAGGCACTCTGTCTATCAGATCTAATTCCTTAAATCTATTTGTCACCTCTACTGTATATTCATCAGGAATATGATTTAGTTCATACCTGAGTGGCCTAGTGCTTTTCCCTACTTTTTTCAATTTAAGCCTAAATTTTGCAACGAGAAGCTCATGATCTGAGCCACAGTCAGCTCCTCGTCTTGTTTTTACTGACTGTATAGAGCTTCTCCATCTTTGGCTGCAGAGCACATAGTCAATCTGATTTCTATGTTGACCGTCTGGTGATGTCCATGTGTAGAGCCGTCTCTTGGGTTGTTGGAAAAGAGTGTTTGTTATGACCATCGTATTCTCTTGACAAAATTCTATCAGCCTGTGCCCTGCTTCATTTTGTACTCCAAGGCCAAACTTGCCTGTTATTCCGGTTATCTTTTGACTTCCTACCTTAGCATTCCAATCCCCCATGATGATAAGGACATCATTTTTTGGTGTTAATTCTATAAGGTGCTGTAGGGCTTCATAGAACCGGTCAATTTCATCCTCTTCAGCACCAGTGGTTGGGGCATAGATTTGGACTATTGTGATATTGAATGGTTTGCCTTGGATTCGAATTGAGATCATTCTGTCATTTTGGGGATTGTATCCCAGTATTGCTTTTCCTATTCTTTTATTGACTATGAAGGCTACTCCATTTCTTCTGAGGGATTCTTGCCCACAGTAGTATACCTGATGGTCATCTGAGTTAAATTCACCCATTCCTGTCCATTTTAGTTCGCTGATTCCTAAGATGTCGATGTTCAGTCTTGTCATCTCTTTTTTGACTACGTCTAGCTTGCCTTGATTCATGGATCTTACATTCCAGGTTCCTATGGAGAAAAAATCTTTACAGCATCGGACTTTCCTTTCACCACCAGATATATCCACAGCTGAGCGTCCTTTCGGCTTTGGCCCAGTTGCTTCATTCTTTCTGGCGCTACTAGTACTAGCCCTCTGCTCTTCCCCAGTAGCATATTGGACACCTTCCAACCTGAGGGGCTCATCTTCCAGCGTCATATCTTTTTTCCTTTTAGTACTGTCCATGGGGTTTTCATGGCAAAGATACTGGAGTGGTTTGCCATTTCCTTCTCCAGTGGATCACATTTTGTCAGAACTCTCTGCTATGACCTGTCCGTCTTGGGTGGCCCTGCACGGCATAGCTTATAGCTTCATTGAGTTACGCAAGCCCCTTCGCCACGACAAGGCAGTAATCCATAAAGGGGGATCCAGAGGTATTTCTTGAAAAGTAGGTGATGTCGGAGGCTGGTGTTTTTCATTGGAAGAGGCCACCTTTCCACTTAAAAGAAGAGATATTTATATATTTTTATTTAAATATCAGGAAGCTTTGTGGGTACCAAGGGCAATCTAAGGGCACAATAACAGCCTAAGAAGTGCTATTGTAGAAGCTCCAGCATTAAGTGATTGAACCTTCAATAGTATCAGTATGAGAGAACAATACACACAACCAACTTGCACGGACCCTCTTCTTAAACACGATGTCACCAGAATTACAACA